ACATGGATGTAGAAATATTTCTAAACATTTCCTTTAGCAGGTGGTGCTAAAGCAGATGATATAGATAAAAAGCCCTCTTTTGTGGGAACAGTAAAAACTGGTCTTACTGCAATAATTCTTTTTTTTTTCTTTTTTAACTACCCTTTAGGGCAGACACTTGACACTGTAAATTTCACAGAAGTTATCTATTATGTAGGAGAAAAGCTGTGCATTTTAACCTTGTGCAGTATTTTAGATAGATCTTGTGTTTAAATTTAGTCCTAAGGATTATAGTGAAGTAGGACAAAGAACTCATCAGACAAGAAGTAATTCAGCCAATGGCCTGTGTAGCTTGGTTTAAAACTCATAATTTTCTTTCTGCTGTTGGAGGGTCAATAACAGCTGGCTGAAATGCACCATGTTTATTAAACTGACCATTTGCAGAGGGAACAGTGTATGCTTTTTATACCCTACCTACTGAGAAGGGAAGCAAATGAAATGAAAATGTCTCCTGACACTATCCAGTAGCTTGGACAAATCACTTTTTCAGCTTTTTGTCTGCATTTCCCTTCACGTCTTTGAGCCCTGTAAATTCTTTGGGTTAGTCAGTGCAGATGGAAAACCAAGAAAAGAGTTCATTCATATTTTGAACTTAAATCTCAGCTGAATCTGCTGCATCCTACTGCAATAATCTCTAACAAAAATCCTGGTTTTGGTGAAATTACAGTGCCTGGAGTTGTTCCCCAGGCTTCCCCTGACTTGGCCAGAAATCTGCCATGGTGGTCAAAGATTCAGAGGTTCTGTAACCAGCTTATGCAAGGTTGAGGAATTGGCTTCTGGGGGTGTAATGCATCCCTCTGCTAATTAAAAGCACATGTCCACACAAGGAATGCAGCTCTTCAAATGGGAACTGCATGTAATTATGAAAGCAGTAGGAGATAAGAATAATTGTTTTCAGTTTTAGATATCCTGTCTTCTTCAGCACTGCAGGAAGATTAAGTGGAAGTCAAGGAAGGCAATAACAAAGTTCACATGCACAGCAGGATAACTGGTGTGGACCAAAGTAAAAGTAGGATCTAACAGAGTTCAAAGAATATTCCCTTCCATATTCCCAGCCACCAAAGAGGTTTCTCACAGTCGTTATAAGCACATCCATTTCATGAGCCTGATTACCCACAGAGTGGCTGGATTGCACAGCTATCAACCAACTGGGTTGTAAACTGTGTTAATAGGAGGGGAGCTAGAGCATTTTATGTGAAATTATTTGCTTCTCTGGCTTAACTGGCTTTGGTCTCCTTTTGGACTCCATTCCTCATCACAAAACACATTCACTGCATGGCATGGTAAGGACAATTTATAAGATATTAAACAAGTTGGAAGGGCACTTTCTGAAAATTTCACGAAATGCAGTAAACTGATGTGTCCATGTGTGGGCTTAGGGATAAAATAAAAGGCAGATTCAGTGGAGGGTTAGGGAAAAGGCAAGAAAAACTAATTGAATAGGGAGCCCACAATGGTTGTACTTTGCCAGATTAGTGAGTCACTGTTTGCTGTGCTGTTGAAGCCCAGGAGACTTAAAAAGTTAAAAACTTTAAACCAGGAGTTAAAAACTCAGAGGAAGCCATGGGATATTGCAAGTATGTTTCAGTCAGCAGAGCAATACCGTTGTTCAATTTAGCAGCAAAACTGCTCTCTTGGTGGGTACCATGGGTTCCAGAATCAGATACGCTTCTTGCCTATCAGCCCAGCTTCGGGCTGCACTTCCCTCAAAGCAGCTGTGTTTAGGCCCAGGGAGGAGATTTTGTCATTTAGGGCAGGTCCTAAAGGGGAACTATGTATCAGTGAAGCCAGGCAGTCCAAAAGTGTGAACCTGTAACCCCTCACTGCAGCTGTTGCTCAGCCCTGAACTTTCCTCAGCTGTTTGCGCTGAATTTATACAGGTGCTGAATGTGCTGCTCCGGGTTTGTCTGGTCCTTCTTTCCTTACATCCTTGGAGAGCTGTGCTCAGAGCACAGCAGAACCTTAAAAGGCAGAGGTAGTCAGTCATCCCTTTTTTAAAAGGCCAGAGGGCTGGTGCCCAAGTTGTTTTAAACCCTCCAGTGCCTGAATGCTACAAACCCATCCTTCTAGGGGAGAGCCCACTGATGTCTCAGCACTAGAGACGTCATTCCCATTCATTGCAGCTTTTATACTTCACAGCAAGAGATAAGAATTACGTGGGGTCTAGGAGAGTGTATGACTTTTTAGCCAGTTGATAGCTGTATTTGTACAGAAACATGAATTCTAAGCCCAGCTCCTGTGCTTGATTACGTGTATTAGAATAGATCCTAAAAAAGAATCAGTTTTGTGAGATATCTTATGTAAAACTTTCAGTATTTTATGTAACACTTTTGGTAATGAAGTTGGCATGGAAAAATAAAAATGTACTAGCGGAGCTGTGGATGGTGTAAGCCTGGGAGGGAAGTTCTCTGTCAGTGTAGGAGGACCAAATACTAGACTGGAAGGACTAGAAAGGAACTGATGTAATAGGAATGGGGTGAAATTTAGGTCATGCACACATGTGCTAACAGCAAGAATTTCTGATATAAAGTAAAAAATGAAACTGATACTGGAGAAGAAAACAGACATCCTGAACAATCAGAAGAAAATTATAAAATGATAGTGTTTCTAGTAGGCCAGGAAAATACTTGTACTTCCATGGAAGAAGCTGGTAAGACATCTGAAAAAATGATTGAAAATAAGCCTGTGAGAGCTGAATTTCTCCCTCTTAGGGCATTAGAGGGTTAATTACCAAAAGAAAGAGTAGCTGCTTCAGCCAGACACTTACTTGTCCATGTATAATTGTCTATGAATCCATGCAGCTAAAAACAAGGTTCCTAAATATCAACAGAATAAGGTTTGTCGTCTCCAACAGGAGGAATAGGAAACCTGGGTTTTTTGTTGAGGTGGAACTTGTCAAGTCCAATAAAGATATTACAGACACAGCTGCTTGCCTTGGGAAGGACCAGACAATGGTCCAAGAGCTGCTGCCTAATGAAGCTCCCCTCAGATCCAGTTTGTTTGTCATTTCTGCTCAAATGCTGATGTATTTGATGGGAGCACCAGCGAAAGGGGGGAAAAATGGACAGTTTCTTGCATAAAGCTGTGGTGCTTTTCCAGAACCTGGTTGCTTTGTCTGGAGGAGATGAACCCTTGGCAGGGTCTCCATCACTGGGCAGCTCTTAATACACAGGATGAAAACCTGGCCCCTGTGAAGTTGATGGAAGTTTTGCCATTAATTTCTGTGAGGCCAGGATTTCACCCTGGAAAGGGAGTCAAAAGTACATGCATGCTTTCAGAGACAGAGTGGCTGATTAAATACATCTGGTGCACTGTTCTTTTATCAATCATTGATAAAATAGTGTCTTTTAAATATAAACTTTGGGTGAGCTTAACTGCAAAATTTAAACATGTCCTTTTACAAGACTTAAAAGCATAATTTGTCTGTTTTTTGTCTGAAATAACAGAAATCCTGGTAAAAAAATTAACACACATCCACACCCATCCACTCCAAACCCCTGTAGTATTTGATGTGCTTCAGAAGTGAGCCATTAAAGCTTAGAAAAGCCAGTTAAAATATTTCTAAATGATACATAAAACTTTATCCTCTAAGAATGCCATCCGAAGCTATGTTCCTCCTCCTTTAATTCCTCAGCAGTTGAGCTAGGGGTTCATCTGATTTCGGCAGGGACTGTGCTTTCAAGTGACCCAGCACGGCCACCTCTGACACCCCAGGGAGCTCAGGACAGGCACTGACCCTCACAGCGCTGCGGGATGTGGCCGAACACCCAGCACAGGGCTGGGTGTGCACAAGGGCAGAGGGGCTGTAACAGGGCACAGGGGCTGTACCAGGGCAGAGGGGCTGTAGCAGGGCACAGGGGCTGTAACAGGGCACAGGGGCTGTACCAGGGCAGAGGGGCTGTAGCAGGGCACAGGGGCTGTAACAGGGCACAGGGGCTGTACCAGGGCAGAGGGGCTGTAGCAGGGCACAGGGGCTGTAACAGGGCACAGGGGCTGTACCAGGGCAGAGGGGCTGTAGCAGGGCACAGGGGCTGTAACAGGGCACAGGGGCTGTACCAGGGCAGAGGGGCTGTAGCAGGGCACAGGGGCTGTAACAGGGCACAGGGGCTGTACCAGGGCAGAGGGGCTGTAGCAGGGCACAGGGGCTGTAACAGGGCACAGGGGCTGTACCAGGGCAGAGGGGCTGTAGCAGGGCACAGGGGCTGTAACAGGGCACAGGGGCTGTACCAGGGCAGAGGGGCTGTAGCAGGGCACAGGGGCTGTAACAGGGCACAGGGGCTGTACCAGGGCAGAGGGGCTGTAGCAGGGCACAGGGGCTGTAACAGGGCACAGGGGCTGTACCAGGGCAGAGGGGCTGTAGCAGGGCACAGGGGCTGCGGGACGCGCCCCTGGCCCCGTGTGTGTGCCCTGCCGCGGCGGGGCGCGATGCGGAGCCTCCCCTGGGCTGTCCCTGCCGATCGCATCCCCGTTGCTGGCTGTGAGCGGTGCGGGGCGGAGGGAGAGGCCCGGCCCCCGGCCGGCCCAGCCCGGCACTGCCGGACACCCTCCCCGGCCCCCCCGCGCCCAGCCGGACCGGCCCGCTGCAGCCCCGCCCGCTGCAGCTCCCGCCGCTGAATTTGCTCCGGTCCCTTAATTGTTTCGCTCTCACCGAGAACTTTGTTTACAGTCCCTTGTGCGGCGAGCTGCATCCCCTCTTATGCTGGCTGCGGGCCGGTGGCCGCCGCGGTCCCGCCCGGCGGCCGGGAGGTAAGGCACGGCACGGCTCGGCTCGGCTCGGCTCGGCTCGGCTCGGCTCGGCTCGGCTCACTACGGCACACTCGCCCATGCTCCGGCGCACTGGCCCAGCCTGTGGCTTGCACTGGCACGGCTCGGCTCGGCACTGCTCAGCTCGCTGGCAGCCCCGGAGCTGCACGCCCGGCTCCCGGTGCCCTCGGGGCTCCCGGTGCCCCCGGGGCTCCCCGGGCCGGCAGGGCTGCTCCCTCCGCTCCGGCACAGGGCTTTCCCCGGTCACAGCAGTCGCGGGGGTTCGGCACTCGCAGCCGCTCCCCGGGTGCAGCTCGGCTGTCCCGAAGCGCCGCTTCTCCGGTACCGGAGGGCTGTACGTGCACAGCCCGCTCGCCTCTCCGCTCTCTTGCAGAGGTGCTCGGGACACGGAGATTTTAGCCTAGGTGTGTCTGTGGCGTGTAGCAGGCGCGTTTGAAAGTTTTGCAGTTGGCGCATAAGAGAGTTGGTTTGTGGAGGGGTTGGGTTGGCTCCCATCCTACATCCCGGCTATGTCGGGAAACGAAAAAGGTGCGACAGTCTAAATCTGTTCCTGATTTTACTTATAAACTTGGTGAGAGAAACTTACTGCATCCCGAGGCAGCTGGTATGGAGGCAGTGTGTTCTCCTGCTTCTGTAGCTCAAGGCATGGTGCTGGAGTCTTGTAAGCACAAATTCTGGTTGAGAATTTCCAGGAGTGTTCACCTGGGGCAGAGCTGCGGGATTGCTTTGAGGATTACTATAATCTGTGGAATTCTGAATGAGTTCAGGCTCTCCTCTCGGGACAGAAGGACTCCTTAGGCTATTCTGCATAGTCACTTGAATGCATAGCCATAGTTTGAAGTGTGAGCATTGTGATTTACTGAGATTTTACATAAGCAAAAAAGGGTGCCTGAAGTGTTTGGTAAAATAGAGAGAATCTGGTCCAGAGCTTGAAGGCAGAAAACTCAAATGTGTCCCACTGGTTATAAGTAAAATGTGAAAAAAAAAAGGGTTGTAGTGGCTCTTTGCCCTTGCACAGAGATGTTCTGTATGTGGGAAGCCCCCTGAGAGAGCACCACATTAAAATGATTCCGAGTTAAAACGCTGGAAGCTTCATGTAGACATTTCACGTGTTTCTTCTTTTCAATTTTGTGGTGAGAGAGGGAAGGAGAAGGGAAGAAACTTCATCTCTAAGAAGTTGCTCTGTCAGAATTTTTGATATAGGCATTACTTTGAAATAAAAAGACCTAAACTGTGTGCAGTCAGGGATAAATACAAATAAATATCTGACAGGGCAATTAATCTTTTCCAAGCAAGATGCTGGCAGAGTGGCTTAGGGGGCACAATTGTTCTGGGAAGAGCTTTCAAACAAATTGTTTGAAAACCTTGCTGTAATCCCAGTGGAAGTTGTCTGCAAGCACATTTCAGAGGTCTGCACTTGTTTTAATGAGATCTAGATTATTTATCTGAAGCCAGGATTTTTTTTCCTGCATTTCCCTCCAAACTTTTCAAAAAGTTAAACTAATTGCTAGGTCATGGGAAAAAGAATATAGTCAAGGAGATAAACAAGTAGACTTCCTTGTTATTAGCTAACTTCAGTAACCTTCAAATATACTTTGGCCATGTCACAGGCTTATTCCAAGGATCTTCTGGAGAACAGCAGCCTGTAAAGGTTTCTGTTTGTCAAATGTTAGCAGGGTCGAAATAATTTAAAACCAGAAAAACCCTTAAAGTTTATCATTATACAAACTTACTCATGAATTTACTCTCATCCCCATTTAGGACTCCTGCTTCCATGGTGAAATGATCTTCTGTGATCATGCACTTCTAGAAAGGGAATGTCAAATAAGATTAGCGACATAAATCTCTGCTGCTTCATGAGTTTTACCCAGCTGCCTGGCGATTTCACAGCTGTTTGTGCAGTTGATAACAATTTCCATCGCTCTGCTTTCTGCAGAGAGTTACAAATCTTGTTTTTAAAAATCCAGTAACAGAAATGAATAACAGTAAATATGATGAACTTGTGTTTATTACAGAGAGTTATTGGACTGTGTAAGTCTGCCTCTTTTTGTTCTTAGAAGAGGTTTTGGGATTATATTACTTAGGTTTTCTTGAAGAGATTTAACAGGTTTTTTAGTGGTGTGTTGTCACAGTCAGTTCACAGCTAGGAAATCTGAGGAACAAGGAGATGGAGTGATTTGCTCAAAGAAATTGGACACATAGAAGAGGCAAACTCCCGTGTATTCTGAATCATTATTCACACAGGTGATGTCAGCAATAGAAATTAAGTTAAATAAGATTTTTATCTACAGTATTTCTTGTGCATTGCCTTTTCCTGCCTGGTTCTTTCTGGGGGACTTGACTGGGTTATGATACTCACTACAGGATGTCACATCATCAAAGGAAAATGTTACATTGGGCCAGAAATGGGTGTCTGCTTCCAAGAAAAGAGGCAGAAGCCACTAGGAGAGCAGAGAGAGAACATCTCCTGCTTTGGTTAGGTTAGGAGCAGGAGTCAGCCCACAGCAGGAGCTTCACACTTACAACTTTTATTCTTAAGAAGCTGATAAATATCCAACAAATTTTCTTGTAGGAAACTTCCATGCTAGAATATTGTCACCTCCAGTTCATCATTCAGCAACATCTGACACTTCAAGCAGCTCTTTCTGCCTTGAATTGTCATACAAGACATCTTCAGCACTCCTCTGCTTTCTGAGCCAAGAGTCTGTTACCATGGATTTCTCCTGGATCTGGTAGGTGTACATTCTGATGGATTTCATGTCTTTTTGATAAATCTAAATTTACACTTATTAGTGGCTAAATTTTTTTTCTCCTTCCTTTATCCAGCCACAGATTGCCACAGAAGCACGTTCTTCTCCAACTCAAAGTAGTTCCTTAGTAGTACTTGTGGTATGATTAGTGAGAGGATGCTAGTGTTGCTAGGTATCTTTGCCTAAATTTCTTACCCTGAAACTTGAACCAAATCACCTGTTGGCTTAAGTCAGAAGTGACTTTGCTAGCAATGAAGATCCAGTGCCCTTTTTTTTAGGGCTGAATACCTTTGCTCACACTTCAAATAGGTTCTGTTGTTTATTGAATAGTATTTCAATAGAGGGTTGTTTATTTGTTTCATATGAATGCCTGCCTTCTTACATCCTATTCCAGACAAGAACTGTGCTCCTCAGAAATCAATCCTCAGAATTGCAATTGACTTGATTATTACAGATTAGAATATTTTTTTATTCCTGTTAGATTTGTATAAATATATCTCTTTTCTTCATAAATCTCTGTACAAGAGGATTAGGAGATTTTAATGCTCATTGAAGATGTATCTGAAGCAGAGGGACAAGGACTTTAGAGACAGGAGTAAATACATTCTGATTAAAGGTTAAAGTTTTTCAGAACTTTATTATGGGCTTTTTCAAGTTATTCAGAAGTTTCCCTATTTCAGTGACTTTTAGAGTACTTGGACTTTGAAATAGTTATTACAGTGTATTTGAGCCAATAGACCTTTTATATGCAAAACAGTTAATTTTGTTCTCTCTCAAATTTGATAATAAAATGTTATACTAATTGATTGGCAAGATCAAAAAACCATGACATTTGGGGGCCACATTCTTATGTTGTGCTGAACTTCTGTAACATTTTATGGATAAGTAATGCAGCAATGCAATATCACCAGTGTACATCTCACTGCTGTTTTTCATTATTGAAAATGCAGAAAACTTGGACTCAGATCCAATGGGAACAGAGCAGTGACACTTGTGAGCAAACCCATGGCTTTCCTGGGCTCTTTCTGTCCAATTTAAAAGACATTTAATCATGCATTATGATTCAAAGAACAAAGGTACCAAACCTAGGAGAATTTAGGATATCTAAGGTGTCAGCGCAGATATATTTGCTTTGTCTGATAAGCACTGAACAAAATCCCTTTCCTACCCTTGGAGATACCAATTTCTCTCACAGAAACAGGCAGAATCATTGAATGGAACTGGTTGGAAGGGGCTTCTGGAGGTCATATGGTCCAATCCCCCCACTGCTCAGCAGGGTCACCTGGGCAGATGGCTTTCAATTATCTCCGAGGGTAGAGACTCCAAAACTTCACGAGGTTCCAGTGTTCATTTGCCCTCTCAGTAAAAACGTTTTTCCTGATGATCAGAGTGTGTCAGTGTGTGCCTGCTGCCTCTTGGGCTGTTCTGGGTGTGCTTGGGTGTGTTGTGTGTGCTCAGCAGGGACAGACAGGATCCTCTGGCAGGGCTGAGCCCGCAGACAGTTGAGCACTCTTCCCCAGAGCAGTAGAACTAAAGCTTTGGCAAACCAGATCTGGGCTTCCCTTCTCTCTTGAGGGTTTAAGGGGACTTTAACACTCTGACTGTATTCAGCATTTAGCCTGTTTGTACCTGTGGTTTTTTAAAAAGAGTGAAATCCTCTTGTAAAACCCATGGTCAGTTGTAGGAGGTACTGAGATATAAAACCAAGGGCTCTCCACAATGAACGAATATATCTTAGCAACAAGGGTGGAGTGGTGGGAAAGGAAAAGGAGAATACAAGTATCTGGCAATTAACTTCCTAGTCACAGATGTGAAGGTGATAAAAGTGATAAAAGCATTACTGCATTGCCAACGCTCTTCCTTGTTCTCTGAGCTGCATATCGTGCTGCTCATGAAAGCAAAAGCGGCACAGCCCACACCAGAGTGGTGGGGAAGTCCTGGGAACTACTTACAGAAGAAAAACCAGTGGTTCCCCAGTGGTTCCCCAGTGGTTCCCCAGTGGTTCCCCAGTGGCTCCCCAGTGTCCCAATCTCTGTGTGTGCTGGGGTGCACTGAGCTGGGTCCAGGACAGCACACCTGTGGCAGCCTCAGTGTTGGCAGAGCTCACTGCAGGCCCCAGGGTGACCCCACATCACCAGAGCCCCAGAGACAAGGCTGAGCTCTGTCAGGGCAGCCTGGAATGGTGGGGAGCTATGGGCTCCTCTTGCTCTGATCAGATGGACTCTGATTATTCCCTGGGTTTCCCAGAGCCAAAAGGTATCTGTCTCCTGTGCAGATGCAGTCAAACTGTGCATGCTGTCAGGACTGAGAGTGTGTTTACAGTCTGAAGACAGGAGGAAAACAACATGATGTACTTGAGATGAGTGAATATGATGGTAAATTTCTCTCCCACACAGTTACAGGGATGTCATTTCATGGATTTACAAGAAAACCATTGCTTTTGCATGAAGCTAGTGTAAATGGCAAGCTGTCAGTCTGGCACTGATGTTGCTGTAGCTGGAGATTCACCAGTTTTGAGCTGAGCCAAGTGCAGGAGTCTGCATCCCCACTCCCCCCACATTTACACCTTGCCATGACCATTTGAATTTTTTCCCTAAGTAGCACTTGCACTGAGAAAGGGCTCATTGTTCATCCTAGTTTTTCCTGGGCTAGTACTTGACTATGTTATTGTGATGTGCAGTGGAGCAAATCTGGGTAATGTATTGTGTGTAGGTGTACAAAGAAACTGTGTGGAAAAATTGTGTGAGCAAAAATCAAAACAATGTGTGAACTTCACCTCCTTGTGAGAAAATGTAATGCCATTGAAATCGAAATTACATCCAGAAATACTGACTTTAGGATGTAACTTAATGTGGGATTTGGCCCACAACACTTTAATGTTGGTGTCTGTCTTGGTCGGTGACTCTGATCTTTCTAGCGCTTACATACATATTGTGGACTTTTATAAGAAGTGATTCAGATCCTTCACAATCAGTCGTGTCACTGTTTGTCTTGTGCAGGTCTGAATGTCTGGTTGTTTGTGATCCCAAGGGGACTCTTCTGTGTCCCCATTTATCTTATAAATAGTTGGTAATTATTGGTTGAACTCATGCTCTTCTCTCCACAGTGCAGCACATGCTCAGCAGAGCCTGCTCTAGCCTGAGAACGGGCCCAGTCAAGACAACCAAGATGACAAACGAACCTGTCAAAGAGATCCTGGGCACCCCAAAGCAGCCTGATTCTGTACCCACAGAGAAGAGTAACAACAATGACTGTGTGATTACCACCATCCCCCTGGTCAGTGAATGCCAGCTGACAGCAGCCACGGGGGGAGCAGAACTCTCCTGCTACCGCTGCACCATTCCCTTTGGCGTGGTCATCCTGATAGCTGGCATCGTGGTGACTGCTGTGGCGTACAGCTTCAACTCCCATGGATCCATCATCTCCGTCTTTGGGCTGGTCCTCTTGTCCTCAGGACTCATTCTGCTGGCTTCCAGCGTGGTGTGCTGGAAAATCAGGCAACAGAACAAGAAAGCAAAGAGGCGGGAGAGCCAGACAGCGCTTGTGGCAAACCAGCGAACCTTGTTTGGTTAGAGGCAGCCAAGAGAAGGCTAGACAGAAGGCAGAACCTTTGTAAGTCAACTTGGCTATTTATCAGTAGGAGAGATTGCAGGTTTTAATTTAACTGTGGAAACGAACTGAAATGAAAATGGAATGGATTAAGGAATACTTGTAGCAACTCTGCAAGTGCTCTCAGTATATTTCTTACTGCAGACTTGGTAGTAATTCTTTCCAAGACAGAGGAAAACCCATTTTTCCTTCACAGAAAACTGTGTCACATAACTGTAACCATCCTAACTGCGTTCTCCAACACGCTGATCATGTTGGAAAGGGAACTTGTGGGAACTGAGAAAATGACTTGAACTGACTTGAAATGCCAGAGGTCTCCTTAAAACACTGATATTTGACCGAGGAAGAAGTCACAGCATTTGAAGTGACTACAAGCGTATGGCCAGAGTATCTGGGACTTAAACTGTAGCTAAAAAACAAAAAGGCAATAAGAACACATTGCAAATTGCTCAATAAGCTGATTCTTATATTTTATGTAACTTCCCCCTCCCAATACCTGTGGTACTTTCCCCCTTTTTTAAATCAACTAATATTGATTTTGTTTCACTATTGAATAGAAATCAGTAGAAATGTGTAATTATGTTGTTTAACCTAAATAACGAGGTATGATCATAGCTTAAAACATGAGACTTTTTTGTAAATTAGAGTGATCAGGTTTAGCACTTTTGATTTTTTGCTATAAAATGAAAAAATAAATTTCATTACAATAATATCCAGTGCTGCTAGACCTTTAGAAAATATTTCTTTATTGCTGTTAAGATAGCTTGTATCTTTGACTCTGACTGCTTTATATTTCTATTTTGTAGAACAACCCCTGTGACAATAACTGTGAACACATGTATTGATGATCTCTTACAAAAACCTCTCCACCTCTATGGACTTGGGTTTGATAGTTCAACCCTCTGCAGCTTGATTAACAGCTCTGTTATTGAAAAATCATAGCAGACAGTTCTGCAGACACTCACTGTCACAGTCAGTTTGAGACATAACTATTAATAATAACTTGTAGAAGCAAAGCTATGTGTAGTGTTTGCTGACTGAGCTTTGGGATTACAAATCTTCATGAGAAGCAGGTGCCAGGTGTCCCCCGCTTGTGACTGAGTGTTGATTCTGTAACTCTTGTGTTGTAGAGGTCTTCCAGCTTTTCTCAGTTAATGGATTATTGAAGGGCTTGTCCCAGATTGAAGCAAACCAGAAGATTATTTCTCCTTCTTGAAGGACAAGTGGTGCTGAGCTGTGTCACAAGTTTCCACCCCAGTGTGTAGGAGAAGGCAGAGGGGCTGCATGGAGCTCTTTCTATTTTTCCTCTCTTTTATTTTCCCCCTTACTTTCTCCAGACTCAAAAGGGCTGGGTGTGATTTTTGCTTTCCACTACCAAGGCGAGACAGGCCTGTGCCTTCTCTTTGCCCTCAGAGCCTCTGGCAGCCGGGATGGTTTTGGTGATGCTGCTGCAGAGCCCACCTGCCAAAGAGGTGCTGCAGGTAGCTCCTCCTGGATCCCTACACTTCTCCGGCTGAAACCACCCAGGAATTCTGGCTTAGGTGCCACCATTTCCTCTGCTCTCCATGGTTTAAGCTTGTTACATCCATAACTTATCCCTGGATTTGCAAACTGCACCTCGTGTTTTAAATAGAGTGAGCTATATGTGCAGGAGGGGATGTTTGGGGTCAGTATTTGCGTTGCCACACTCCGTGGTTACCAGACGCTATAATAAAATCACTTGCATCAGAGGAAAGCTGACAACACATTTTAGCACTTCCATAGCCCTCACTTAATCACGGCAGGAAGCTTTCCTGCTGCTAGGAGAACATGTTGCGTCACCAGAACATCTGACACCGGTGTCTAGTGTCAATCACTTTGCTTAAGGTCATTAAAAATATTAGGGTGTCCCCTTACGATGTACAGGTTTTGCATGAGTGACAATTCATGGGAAATGCATAGCATGATAAATAATGGAACAGGTGGACTAAAGTGGTGTCTTTCCTGTTTAAAATGAGAAAAGTGATTGACATCAGCAAAGCTGGATAAGCTAAATAGAGCTGTTCATCTTTTTCCCTATCTGGGAACACAATAGTTTTTCTGACTCTTCTCCCTCCCCATTTCTTTTTTCATCAGTGGAATTTTGGGGGCTGCTGAGGAGAGAACTCCAGGGGCTACAGAGACGCAGTGATTTCCACTATGTGTGTGGCACTTTGGCTCCATGATTCCTAGGCTGAGCCCAGAGCAGGAGGTGCCCACTGCCCTCTCCAGAAGTCTTTCCCACACATGGCTCCTCCTTTGCCCATCACTGTGATACAGCTGAGCTTGCTGTGGAAGGAAGGTAGAGGTACAAGGTAAGGCTCAGCTCCAGGTCAAAAAAGGAAAGCCAAACTCAGTGGAATAAAGACAATGGGGGTTTTGGAGCATTTTTTTTTTTCAGGAAGGGTAAATAGGAGTGAGTAAGAATTGCTCTGCTACTACTAGAGATTATTTCCCTTTCCTTATCCCTGCTCTCTTTTGCAGTGCATAGGCAAGGACACAGCAGAGTTCCTGGACCATTCTCTGCCTTGCTAATTGTGGGCATTACCCAGCCTGTGAGCAGTGACAGACACATTGCAGTGACCCTGGATGTGATGCCCTGGCACAGAAAAGCTTCAGGCACACCGTGGTCTCTGCAGTCCCACTGGACAGGCTGGGAGGTCTCTGGGTGAGAGGGGCTGCTGAGCTCAGCAGCATCCTCGGTGTCGTTTAGAGATGAGGTACTAGCATCTTCATACCAAGAAGCAAATGAAAGGCTGTGCAGGAAGGCTTCTTTGTCCTTTGTTCAGAGGAGCAAAACAGTGATTTTATGGGGAAGAATACCAGGACCTGATCCTGGTGTCCTGCAGGAGCAAAGCAGAGATTGTGAACAATTCAGGCAGAGATTTTTATGCTGTTGAAGATGTTTTCAAAGGTTTCATTGCTGTTTGCATGGCCTTAGAAACTGACTTTTCCCCCATGATTTGTTTGCACTGATTTTGGACCAGTCTGAAGCAGAAGTAACATCCTTTCTGACTGACCAGAGATGACATCTCACCCATGTCTCTCACTCTGTGCTTTTTTCTTCTTGCAAATCTATGTATTTCGGATATTTTCATTATTATCCTGTCTCTCTCTGCACACCCAGGAACAACACATCCTTTTCAGCCCTTAAAGCCCAACCAAACTTTCTGCTTCATATTTTGTACCCCATGACCTAATCTGGATTGATTTGGAGTTTCATGCCTGGGTGCTGCAGTACACCACTTCTTTTGATACAAAGCCATCTGGAGCTCCATGATTGCTGTTTGGTGTTTCTTATGGGAATCTGAGAAGCAAAAGGACATAACCCTGTGGAGATCAAAGTGACTTTCCAGTTCAGAAACATCTTCCCTTCTGGTGTGAAAAGGCTTTGAATGCCACAAATGCTGTTTCAGTTCTGGGAGAGGCTGGGTGGGAGCTGATGCAAATTTTATTGTCACAATTGCTTGTCTATCCCTTCCTGAAAGCCCTGGCAGCACTGCACAAGAAAAACTGCCCTCACAAGGATAGAAGATTATCTAATAGAGGAATTGCACTGGTGCTCCAGGCAAATGTTACAGCGATCTTAATAATTTCAAAACCTAAGCACAGGAAATTGTGTCTGTAACTACACCCTGTATTGCTGTTATACACAAAGACAGTTATAGCCTGAGACAGTATTTTAAAATAATAATCAGATTGGTATGACAATGCTTAGATTTTGTTCAAGTCAAAATGCCCAATTTGCAATTCTCCCATCATTTCATGTGCTGTGTTCTGTATGTGACTGGCTTTAATACCATAATTTTCCAGGTTTAAAAAATAATTAAAAAGAGAGAGAGAGAAAGAGAGAAAGGTTAGTTTCATGGACTTGTGTCAAGAATTAAGTTTCTCTGCCATGGACACTTGGGAGAGCTCCTGTTACCAAGCAGCAAATTTAAAGTATTACTGCAGCTCCACAGAACAGGAACCAGCTCCGAGTGTGGAACGAAGAGAGGCCTGAGAGTCTCATCAGCATCCGGAAGAGTCAGGCCAGGAACAAGCCCTCTGGAATATCCCCTGTTCCTGCCTCAGCTTTGCTTATCCAGAGTCAAATCCAGGGTTACTGCTCCTTTGATATCTGAGATGGAAATTGTATATTATTAGCAGGTTTCACCTAATTTGTTTTTACAATCGGGTATAAAATAAGAAAAGCAGAACAATATTGGCAGCCATCATTTTGCATAGATATTACCAATACCTCTGAGCATTGACAGACACCATTTGCTTTTATATTTCCTATACCTTTGATGCCTGTAGCTTGTATGACATTTTAGCTACATTATTATAAATATTTGCAGTCATGAAGGGCTTTTATATATTGAATTACATTACATATGAAGAATTGCACTGTATGATGTGAAAAATATAAATTCTGGCAGAAATCTATGTGTAGACTAAATCTTACAGGCTAAACCATGTGGGAGAACAATGGTCTTAAACTGCAAAATCAACTTGAATTTTTGGCTTTTATTCAGGTTGTTGATGTCACTATTAACATGACACAGGACCTAATCCTTCCTCTTGTGAGCAGCCAGTTGAAGTCCTATTGTCCTGACTCTGTGCATCCTAAAATTTGCATTTGTAGCAAACGTGGCAATTTTGAAAAACACTTATTTTGGATTGATTGCTTTTCCTTTTAACTCTTCTTCTGTGCTTCCTATACTGATAGAAAAATTACTGTGTTTTAAAAACAGAAAAAGAGGAAAAAAGAGAAGAACATACAACTGCAGATGTTGGACACTGCATAATATAATGGAAGGATAGTAAATGTGCCTTGTTGATGGAGACTTTCAAAAACATATAAGTCCTGTTTCTGATACATCCTGGACTTTATCCTCAGTTTCATTCTTTGAAAATTCCTTAAGTCCCCAGGTTAACATTGGTCTTAGATCCTCACCTCATATTTATTTTCTGTTTCCCAGGAACCATTTAGCTCAAAAGGCAGATTCTTTAACCATCTTTTACAGCCTGACTGACATCAAATGGCCAAGTGGGATTTGCAGAGGCAGTGTCCCCATAGGCATTCAGCCACAGTCTGCTCTTGAAGGGGTAGACACTGGGCAGAGGTAAAGATTTCTGTGCTGCAGCAGGAGATGTCAGTGAATAATCTGTGACAAAAACATAAATAACAGCAGAGCAGCCCTTCACTGCCTCTCCTCAGCCACGTTCCCTTTCTATCTGAAGGCTCAGGTTTGTGAATAGAGTTAACAGCTTTCCTGGAAAACTGGCCCATGACATTATTTCCTTGTGAACTCCATCCACCTGTCATGTTAGGGCTTGGTGCAACGCCAGGGCTGGCAGGAAATAATAGGCAGCAGGATGCTGGTGTGTGTCGATGGCCCTGACCCTCCCATTCCTGAACATGAATAAGCCTGGGACTCACCGGGCGTCAGAAGCGCGCAGCTCCCAGGCCCTGGGACACGCATGGGTGGGAGGCACAGCCACTAAAATAACATCCAGCCAGCAGAGCTGCAGCCCAGAGTGCTGTGGGAAGGGATGGTGTCACATTCTCACTGCCTGCTGCTCTTTGTTCTCTCCCCTGCACAGAGAGAAATCTGCTGCTTCACACAGTAAAAAAGGACAGAGTAGACCTCCATGTGACATTGCTGAGATTCCCCTGAACAGACTTATTTCCTTGGAATCCATGGGGTATGTTATGGATGATCATCTCTGTTGCCATTTCTGCTTTGCTTCTATCTAGATAATTTCATTCTTTGCCTGCCAGCTGATGGTGTTTCAAAGAATGACCTCTGCTAGCATAGAAGAAAAGGACTTTTCACTCTGGATTGCAAAATGAACTTGTAAAGAAACATCCTGATCTCTTAACCATTCTCAAAAAAATCTAATGACTGGGTCTGGAAGAAAATTGTTTCCTAATCTGGAGCAAAAGTAGTACAGCAGCAGTTTAATGAAATGCAGACTTGAAGCAAAGCATCGTGTCACCCCTTTCCCTTTTTTCCCCAAAGGCAAAACTGCTGAAGTGAATAATATAACTCATGTGAAAGATCATAAGGATGGTCAAATTACCGCTGATGTTTAAGCTCTTGCAAAATGAGCGACTAAATGGATATAGGACCAACACCTCATGAGTCTTTTGCAAGAAAATCCCCAACAACTTAGAGAACAAGCTGTTCTTCCCTTGGCAAAACCTTTCAGTTCCTCCATCGCAGCAGCTGGGCCATGATAGGTGCTGTAGCCTCAACTGCTGCCAGCTCCAAGTGTTGTGAAAGACACGAACCCTCCGTGTTGAGCACAGCATTCACATCACAGTCACTGCTTTGTTTGTGTCCTGCCCCTCTGTGTGCTGACACCAGTGGGGCTAAGAGGGATTTTCTGAGCAGCCACCTCTTCCTCAGTGCAGCCTGCTCCATGCCAAGCAGGACTAGAGGGACTTACTACAGACACAGAAAAGTGCAATTGGTCTGTAAAGCGACCAGAAGTGAAAGCATGAAGCCTGGAGCTCAGGATGGGACAGAAAAATCAGGGAGAATCCATGTGCCCATG